AAAAAGAGGAGGACCCCCAACGAGATGGATCAGCCAGGTGGCATCACTGATGGACTCAAGTGTGGCAGCGGTAGTGAGGTTGGCCCAGGATCGTACATTGTTTCGTTCTGCTGTGCATGGGGTCGCTATGAGTCGGTTCCGACTCGATGGCACCTGACAACAACAACAACATTAGCTCCTAATGAATTTTCAGGGAAACTCTCTGGAATGCCCAGATAGGCAAAAAACAAAATTACAGCTCATTTTACTACTAAGGTTTAGCACCCTGAAGACAAGCTTGCTAAGGCAGAAGGGAGACATATGAAGAAACAAACTGGAATTCACTTCAAGGACTGAAAGTCTAATTCCACCACCAGTTGGGGGCTTGTGGTATAGCAGAGCAGTAAAAGCAACTACAGACCAACGTTTGCAAGAACTCTGAAAGAATGCTGTATCTTGCTCTCAATAAAGTTCATTCGACTTTACATCAAACTGCTCCCTACAAAAAGTATTATATGTTCTTCAGGTCACTGGTTGATTTACAGGCTACATGAATTTCTTAGTTTGCACCCTAGAAAAATTACAAATACACAACCATCCTTTAGGATCTATCCAGACAGACAAAACTAGGACAAAACTAGGAATAAATCTACAAATTCCAAGACCCTAATAAAATATTGGTACTACCTTCTAGCTTCCTCACTATGCTATCAGGTCCTTTATAGACAGAACTTCACCAATTTCAGAGCTGAGTCTTCTCTGTCTGTGTATCCCCACCTTATCATACAAAGAGAAGTAAGTGATTGTGACAAATGATGCACTGGGCAGATGACAATTTAAATCTTATGATGGACCCTAACAGAGAAAGATTCCTTTTCATTCTTGAAAATTATATCAATTAAACATTACGTTACTATTACCTGATTGGCTCAGACGATCACAAGCCATCATGTCCAATAGATTTGGTCCAGCTTCTCCTTTTATTAGTTTAATCTTGGGTCTTGGAACCTGATGATTTCAGAAAAAAAAGATCTTAAAACTCAACGATGTCCATGTTCTAACAGTAAGATGATCCCATTACATGGCACTGGTTTCATAATCAATGCTATTAGTCAACAGTAAAGCTCAGCTGGAAAACAAACTCCAAACAACTTTAATTTTACTAGACAAATTCGAAAACAGCAATAAATTATCAACTTCACAAATTTCAGAAATTCTCACTCATATATTCGGTATGAACGTAAAAGCCTCTGCTGAGCAGACAGAAGACTTGACCGTTGTGGGCTGACTAGTACCAGTCTTAGAAAGATCTGCATACTATGAACTAGATGGCGAAGCATTATCTAAAAGGAGCCTTCTCTAAAGGACCTCTATGGTACACCCTTGTGGCTCCCAGGTAAAGAGCCTTCTCTAAAGGACCTCTATGGTACACCCTTGTGGCTCCCAGGTAAAGAGCCTTCTCTAAAGGACTTCTATGGTACACCCTTGTGGCTCCCAGGTACTTCAAAAAAATGTAAAAAGATTAGGGGAGAGATATTATTTGGCACGCCTCATCTAAATAAAGCAAACAGTTCACATTTCGTCATATTGCCTTCCTGTTCTGTTAAGTCCAGATACTGTTTTCCTAGATGAAATGTACAGTCCTGATGTGGCGTCACAGTATAAAGAACTCAATCACAAGGTCGGTTTTAACGGCCAGGTCGGCTGTTGAAAGTCACCAACCACTGCTTAGGAACCCTATGAGATTACTGAGATGACACCGACTAGAAAGCACTTAACAACGAGATACAACACAGTTATATATTAATGACGATACACTGTCAGATGGGATGTTGTGGTTGTCCCATGCTGTCCACAGCAACCCTGCAGAGAGGTTCCCAGCAGAAGCCAATGGCTCTCAACTGCCAACGTTGGGATTCCAATCTAACACTTAACCCTACTCAGCAAGCATCACACCAGAACTCTAATGACTTCTAGTCATACATAAGGGGGCTGCCAAAAGTGGAGGAAAAAATGAAAAGTAAGGACTGTTGCCACTGATTTTTTGACGCTCCCCCTCCTTTTCAATAAGCATATATTTTCTTTGCTATCACATTTTTACATGTTAATTGATTTTAAATATAAGTACAGAAAACAACTAACATGTGAAATGGGTATGAGAATAGCATGCTATCATAATCCACTTTATTTAGGCTTTTGTCCAAGTTACATATATTTTTTTTAATCAAACATTATCCATATTTGAGATTACTTCCTTTACTATATATAGGCTCCCACCAATACCAGCACTAAAAGATGAAACACCTATAAAATGTCCTTCAAATAAGTCCTAGTATGAAGCCTAGCACCAACAATTCATCACAGCTCCTGGTCACCATCCTCCTCACAACTGTGTACCTCTTGCTATTTTGTACCTATCAAACTCACTACTTTAATGTTAACTTCACAGGGTTCTGATCACGTTTTCATCACAATGACAAAGCATGAGTACCTGTGACACGGCATGGAGGCTAAATACAGTGTCCATGGCCAACAGTGCCTGTGACACCGCACGGAGGCGGATGAGGTTGTCCATGGCCAACAGCACCGAGAAGAACTTACCTGAAATGCTAAGAGATAGCACAATGCAGCCAGCTCCGAGAGTGCTCGCCACTGGACGTCACTATGCTGACCCATCTTTAAGAGCAGAGAACCAGCATGCATGTAGAAATGACCTTTCACTTCTATGAACGTAGCTGAGAGTTCATCATTGCCACCCACAGAAGATTTCACAGACTGAAGAGCACTATCAAAACTGTAAAATTAAAATATTAAACAGGCACATTAAAGGAGCATTCACTTCACACTTAACCATCGATATTCAAACTAATAAGCTGTATATTCTCTAGTTGAGAAATCATGAACCGTTAAGTTAATTAGTCCTGGACTAATTATCCTGAGTACTCTCTGTATTCCAAGTTTAATGTTCAACTTTTATTCCAAACCACTTATTTGGGGCCCTCCAAGACACAAAGAACCACTCGTCTGTCGGTTTGCCGCAGAGCAGCGGCTTCCGTGGTGCAGTGATGTTGGAAGCTGCGCCACAGGTAGTCTGAATGGGGACAGGATCATGTGTGGTGGAAAGCTGTCAGCTGAACTTCATACTAAGACAGATTAGGAAGAAGGAGAGACAGACTACTTCTGAATGGTTAGTCACGGACCCTTGTGAATAGCAGTGGAGCCCTGTCAGTTAGCATCAGCATAGTATACACAGAACGTAGAAGAGTATCTGAGTATTGTCATGTGTAATGCTAAAAGTGGATCCCCTCAGGTTTGGAAGGCACTCAAAATAGGACTGGAGAAGAGCTGCCTCCTCCAAGTAGAGCTGACCACGATGACATGAATGGAGCAAAGCCCTGGGGACCTTCATTTCCTGATGGGGCACAACTCAAAAGACAGGAACACCAGCTGCAAACGTCCATTCATAATAAAACAGAGAAACACAAAGCCCTAACCCAGGAAAGCTGGAAGCGGTCAGCAATGAAAAGGAGCACATAAACATCGACACCCTTAGCACTAGACAGCAGACATGGAATCTGACAATCCCCTAGTTGACTATGGTGGGAATGACTGAAGAGAAATGTAATGTACAACACTGTCTGTGATAAGATTATATCCATACGCCTACATGGAAGACCAATGAATACCACTATTACTCAAATGTATACACAAACCAGTGAATCCAGTAATGATGAAATTGAGGAATTCTACCAACTTATTCGGTATGAAATTAATCAAACATGCAATCAAGATGTACTGACGTACTGGTGACTGGAAACAGAGGCAGGACCAGTCGTTGCGAATACAGCACTTGGGATATCGCATGACAGAACTTCCAAGACCAGTGACTTCTTCATTTCAAATACCTTTTTAAACATAAAAGATTATACACCTTGGGCTTTAGAAGATGGAATACACAGAAACCAAACTGACTACATTTGTGGAAAGAGAAGGCAGAAAAGCCGAAACCAGAACAGGGGCAGACTGTGGGACAGAAAATCAACTGTCCACACACGAGTTCAGGCAGAATCTGGAAAACATTAAAACAAATCCATGAGATCCAAATCCCAACTAAACTGACATCATCTCAAATATAGATCAGATGCATTACACACTAGTGACAAAAACCCAGAAACGTTATGAGATGCCAGCAAGAACATAATACAGGAAGAAAGCAAAAGGTCATTAAAAAGGCAACGAAGAAAGAAAAGACCAAAATGGTTATCACAAAAGACCCTGAAACTTGCTCTCCAGTGTAGCGATGCTAAGGCAAATGTAAGAGATGAGGAGGTTAAAAAACAGACAATTTTAAAGGGAAGTTCAAGAGACAAATTCAAAAATAATAAAATTTGCAAAGGCCTACTTAGAAAACAAAAAGGGAGAAACACACCCAGCATTTCTGAAGCTGAAATTGAAGAAAAAAATTCAAGTCTCGAGTTGTAATATTGAAGGAATCTACGGCCAAAATACTGAATGGTACAGAAAGTATCAAAGGAAGATGGAGGGAATACACACAGTTACTGCACCAAAAAGAAACAGTTGATGTTCACCCATTTCAAGAGGTAGCATATGATCAAAAGCAAATGGTACTGAAGGAAAAAGTTCAAGCTGCATTGAAGGCCTGGCAAAAAACCAGGTAGTGGCAAAGCACAAGGCTCCAGGAATTGATGGAATATTACTGAAATCTTTCAACAAACTGAGGCAACACTGGAGACACTCAAACATGTATGCCAAGAAACCTGAAAGAGAGCTACATAGCCAACTGATTGGAAGAGATCCATATTTGTGCCCATTCCAAAGAGAGGTATCTCAATGGAATATGGAAATCTCTAGACTATACCAATAATCTCACATGCAAGTAAAATTTTGCTAATGAGAATTTAACACAGCTGCCAAGAGTACAGTAGCAGGGAACTTTCAGAGGTTCAAGCTGGATTCAGATGAGGATATGGAATGAGGGCTATACTACCTGTGTTTTACTGACTATGCAAAGCAGAGAATGCCAGAAAAATGTTTATTGTGTTTCACTGACCACCAAGGCTTTTGACTATGTGGAACATGACACGTTATGGACAACACTGCAAAGAATGAGTATTCCAGACCACTAACTGTGTTCATGAGGAACCTCTAGGAACCAAGAGGCAGTTGCTCAAACAGAATAAGGGAACGCCAAATGGTTTAAAATTAGGGAAGGTGTGCGCCTTACTTTGTCTGTATGCTGAGCAAATAATCCAAGAAGCAGGACTATATGAAGAAGAATGTGGTGTCAGGATTGGAGGAAGGTTCATTAATCTGTGATATGCAGATGATACAACCTAGCTTGTTAAACACCAAAAGAACTTAAAAATACTTACTGATGAAGAACAAAGACCACAGTCTTCAGTATGCTTTGCATCTCAATGTAAGGAAGACAAAAATCCTCACCACTGGACCAGTAAACAGCATCATGATAAGTGGAGGAAAGATTGAAGTTGTCAAAGACTTCATTTTACTTAGATCAACACTCATGGCAGCAGCAGTCAAGACATCAAACGACATATTGCATTAGGCAAATCTGCTGCACAAAACTTCTTTAAAGTGTTGAAGAGCAAAGATGTCAGTTTGAGGTCTAAGGTGCACCTGACCCAAGCTGTCATACACATGTGAAAGTTGGACAGTGACTAAGAAGACCGTAGAAGAACTGAGGCATCTGAGTTGTGGCGCTGGAGGAGACTATTAAGGTACCAAGGACTGCATGAACAGATAGATCTGTGATGGAAGACGTGCAGAGAGAAAGAGATGCTCCCTGGAAGCCAGGATGGCCAGACTTCCTCTTTCCTACTTTGGATGTATCATCAGGAGGGACCAGTCCCTAGAGAAGGTAAAGTGGAAGGTCCATGAAAAAGAGGGAGACCCCCCAATGAGACGGACTGGCACAGTGGCAGCAGACATGGATGGACTCAAGCTGAGCAGCGATTTTGAGGATAGTGCAGAACCAGGCCATGTTTTCTTCTATTGTATACAGGGGCACTAAGGGCTGAAATCAACTGGATGGCACTCATCATCATCATCATCAACAACAACAACAAGATAACAAAAGGGAGTCCTGTAGCATAGTGATTATGAGTAGGGCTGCTAACAGCAAGTTCAGCAGTTCAAATCTATCAGCTGCTCCATGGAAGAAAAAGATAAAAGCTTTCTGCTCCCATAACAATTTAGTTTCAGAAACCCTATCATGGTCACTGAGTCAGAACTAACTTCATGGTACACAACCACCACAACCACCACAACCACCTGGATACAGAAAGGTGTTAATCAAGTAAGACTGTTGTTACATGCCATCGAGATGGTTCTGACCCATAATGACCCTGCACAGGGTTTCCAAGGAGCAGCTGGTGAGCTTGAACCACTAACGCTGCGGTTCAAAGGGACTTCACAGTCCAGTGCACTAATCCACAGCGCCACACCAGGACTTCTAACAAGATTGTTGTTGTTGTTAAGTGCCATCAAGTCTGATCCAACCCATAGCGACCCTGTATAGGGTTTCCGAGGACAATAAGATTACTATTGAAAGGAGACTTCTAACTGTTCATGGAACAGTGGAATTAAAAGATAATGGACTTCACAAGAAAAACGAGCCACAACACGAGAAGATATATGCACACCAATGTTTATAGAAGCACTATTTACAATAGCAAAAAGATGGAAACAGCCAAAGTGCTCATCAACTGAAGAATGGATAAACAAATTGTGGTATATACACAAAATGGAATATTATGCTACATTGAAGAATAACAAGGAAGCGGCAAGCCACCGCATAACATGGATGAACCTGGAG